GAAATTTTTTTTTTTTAAAAACTACTTGTCCAGGGACTAAATCGGTGTCTCGATCTACTTGTCCAGATAAAAAAACATTTTTTTACCCAAAACTGTAATTAAATCTGGGGCACTTTTAGGTATGTCTTGGGCTTTTTTTTTTTTAAAAAAAAAAAAAAAAAAAGGGGCTTTATGGCGACTTAAATGTTTAATATTTTTAACACTGCGCTGTTTATCTCTTCCTAACCTCCCTGCCTGTCTCCAGCGCCCAGGAACTAGCAAGGAGGGGAGAGACCTTGTAGTATAATAAGCACCGATTGGCTGCTCATCAGGAAAGGGGAGTGTCAGGCTTTATCCCTTTCGCTGCCAGGGCCCTTTTTGCGTTTTTTGCACACATTTAAAAATTAATTTTAGGCCTGAAGATTACATAAAACCACCAAAACATTTTTCTGAGATCAGAAACACTAGAGCAGTGGTCTCCAAACTGCGGCCCTATGCTTGCCTCTATTCAGCCCTCAGGGTACCATTCTTCCCATCGATACCAACAAGGAGGCACCATTTCTTCCACTAGCACCAACTGTTGATCATTTTTCCTTCCACTAACACCAGTGATGGGACACTATTCCTCCCACTGACACCAGTGATGGGACACTATTCCTCCCACTGACACCAGTGATGGGACACTATTCCTCCCACTGACACCAGTGATGGGACACTATTCCTCCCACTGACAACAGTGATGGGACACTATTCCTCCCACTGACAACAGTGATGGGACACTATTCCTCCCACTGACACCAGTGATGGGACACTATTCCTCCCACTGACACCAGAGATGGGACACTGTTGTGAAAATAAAGCCTAAGGCTCCATACACACTTGAGCGACTTCAAAATCGTGTAATTTTCATTGCAACTTTATGCAATTTTCAATGAGTGCAACTTTGGCTTTGACCATGGATAATTGTTTGTGCTGTATTAAATCACTAGTCAGTAAGGCTTGATTTAAATCCTAGTTTTCTACATAAAGACTAATTCTTGCTGGTATAACTTTAATATGCAAGTAGATAAAGATTTTTAGAATAACAACTTTTCATATTAGTTTTTTATCCCCAGTTTAATAGGTTAATCATTCATATTTGGACAACTTTTCTGTTGTACTTAGGAAGGAGAAAAATAATCATTACCTTAATAACAACAATTTAAATAGATTTATTCAACTGAAACAATAACATTCCAGCATATGTTATTTGCTTAAACATCCATGTTTGTTAACTAATTTGGCTAAACAAAATATATATATTTTAAGAAACTTAGACTGTCAGCCCCTTCCTCCTCACACTTAGTTTCACTTTCTTCTTGTGCAGATCTATTCCACTCCAAACAATCAGAAAAATATTGTTTCTATTCTATTCACTGAACTTCTTGAAATTTAGCACTGAAGGGGTTGATTCTGTATTCATAGGTTTGTAGAAGTTAGGATTAAGGTCTTTTTCTTAACTCTGTTCATGTTATAACATTTTTGCTGTGAAGAAGAGGCATGTGATCTCCGCTGAGTCAAATTCAGTTTTGAGAACTGCAAAAGTAAACCAAGCATCTGTGATAATATCTTGTAGGCAGAGAAACTGCCCAATAATCTTACAAAAACCTCTGGAAGAGCATGACATTGTGAATGGATTTATGGAATTTATTTACCAAAAAAAGTAAACTTATACAGCCTTATTCTACATAATTAAAAAACTAATCTTTATTTCATGATGGAATAACCTTTGGTTGGTAATATATTTTCCTTAAAAAGCATTTTATTTTTAAAAAATCCGATTTAAATCAAAAAAATCCGATTTAAAGCAAAAAAATCTGATTTTTTTAAATTTTATTTAAAAAAAAAACATTGATTTTTATCCACCATGCACTGAAGTCTATGGCCCTCGCGTTGCATGAATATTTGAGTCGCACAGTATAAGATTGGTACTCGTTGGGAAACAAAGGGAGCGACTTGTCATGAAACTTTGGACAAGTAGCATAAGTGTGGACTCCAAAAAAAACCTCATCCCTTTCTTTAGAAAAAGAAAAAAAAATGTTTGCATATGGGTGTATTACCACTTTAGGCCCCTTCCAGACAGGGAAGATCAGTCAGCATGATCTGCCTGCAGATCTCTGCTGATCCCCACTGAGCAAGCGGATGACAGGTCTGTGTGCGCTCTGCTGCTGCAGACAGCGGGCTGATTTCAATGGGACGGTCGGATGGAAACGGACTGCCTGTATATTTCCACCCAATTGTCATCTGATCCACCGGATGAATGGGGAACAGATCCTCATTCATCTGTTTTTGAAGTACAGGATCAGATGCCAGCAGACTAGTGTCCGCTGACACCCGCCGGTCCATAGAGGTCTATGGATGGACCGATTAGCTCCACTCAAAAAGGTGGACCCCATCGGTCCGCTTGTGTGAAAGTGACCTCTTGAGTATGTACTTGAACAAAATTTCTTTTTTTTTTTTTTTAAAAACTGTTTAGTGTCACTTTAAATAAATATATGTAAAATGCACAACCTACTAAAAGGCTCATATAGATATGTGCAAAAATATTCAAATAACGACGCCAAAACTTGGGAGAGCCTAATGGAATGATATTTAGAATAAGCAATGACCAGTCAATGTGCAGAACAAGTCTCTTCGAATGTAAGCTGTAATGAATGGGGCCCTTTGTATTATTTATTTCAGGCACTTATATAGCGCCGTCAATTTACGCAGCGCTTTACATATATATATATTGTACATTCACATCAGTCCCTAACCCTCAAGGAGTGTACTATCTAAAGTCCCTAACTCACATTCATACATACACATACTAGGGAAAATAGACTGGAGCCAATTAACCTACCAGCATGTCTTTGGAGTCTGAGAGGAAACTGGAGTACCCAGAGGAAACCCACTCAGGCATAGGGAGAACATGCAAACTCCAGGTAGGTGGTGCTGTGGTTGGGATTTGAACCAACAACCCTAGTGCTGCCAGGTGGAAGTGCTAACCATTTAGCCACTGTGCTGTCCCATACATTGTATTATAGCTGTACGGTCTGCACGTATGGTGTAAAGAACTGCGTAAACTGTTGGCACTAATAATAATAAAGTGTCAGAGGTGCTTGCTATCTCTGTAAGATCCATGATTATATTGTAAAGTGCTGAGCAAACTATTGGCACTATATAAACCCTGTATAATAATAATAATATAAATCCTGTATAATAAGAATAATATAAATCCTGCATAATATTATAAATCCTGAATAATAATAATATAAATCCTGTATAATAATAGTAATATAAATCCTGTAGAATACTAAGCAACTCATTCACTCCCTTATCATATCACGACTTGACTACTGTAACTCCCTCCTCACCGGCCTACCCCAACACAGGCTATCCCCGCTTCAGTCTATCCTGACTACTACGGCCAGACTCATCCACCTTACTAACCACTCCATATCCCCCACCCCTCTCTGCCAATCCCTCCACTGGCTTCCGATTGCCCAACGCATAAAATTGTCCATAACACTGCCCCAAACTACATCACCGACCTGATATCCAAATACCACCCAAAACGTACTCTCCGCTCCTCACAAGACCTCCTACTCTCTAGTTCCCTGGTCTCCTCCTCCCATGCCCGTCTCCAGGACTTCTCCAGGGCCTCCCCTATCCTCTGGAACTCCCTACCCCAATCCATCAGACTATCACCTACTCTCCTCTCCTTTAGGTGCACCCTGAAAACCCACCTTTTCAGGGAATCCTACCCCGCCCTCAGCTAACTGAAGCGAACCCCTCGTGTATCAAATTGTATTGTTACTGTGCTGTCTCGTGTACTGTCTCCCACTGTAATGTACAGCACTGAGCAAACTGTTGGTGCTATATAAATACTGTATAATATAATAATAAATATAAATCCTGTATAATAATAATAATAATATAAATCCTGTATAATAATAATATAATTCCTGTATAATAATAATATAATTCCTGTATAATACCAAATCCTGTATAATATAATTCCTGTATAATAATAAATCCTGTATAATAATAAATCCTGTATAATATAATTCCTGTATAATAATAATATAAATCCTGTATAATATAATTCCTGTATAATAAATATAAATCGTGTATAATAATAATGATAATATAAATCGTGTATAATAATAATGATAATATAAATCCTGTATAATAATAATGATAATATAAATCCTGAATAATAATTCCTGTATATTAAATATAAATCCTGTATAATAAATAATATAAATCCTGTATAATAATAATAATAAATATAAATCCTGTATAATAATATAAATCCTGTATAATAATAATAATATAAATCCTGTATAATAATAATATAAATCCTGTATAATAATAAATATAAATCCTGTATAATAATAATAAATATAAATCCTGTATAATAATAATAAATATAAATCCTGTATAATAATAATAATGATAAACAACCTGTATAATAATATAAATCCTGAATAATAAATCCTGCATAATATTAAATATAAATCCTGTATAATAATAATAAATCCTGTATAATAATAAAGATGTGATCAGAGATTCCCCCAATCACCTGGCAATAAAGGGAGGTGTGCCAGTCAGGTGGAGGAGGGGCAGGCTGTTCTATAGATATGACTTTTCTATGGAGGTCCCATGGCGGTGTGTGGAATAGTTTGTACCTATTAGTTATGACATGCCCCTTACCCAGGCGGTGTGTATTTTTGGCAGGGGGGGGGGGGTCCGGATCTGGAGGCACACAGCCTCCCCTCCCCCATCCAGCTCTGTGTACGGCGCACCGTGCGCTCTGTTTACACGGGGTGGGGGAGGGGCCGCCATCACCGGATTGGGGCCGGATTTGAGGCGGTATGTTTACACGGTGTGGGGGGAGGGGCCGCCAGCACCGGATTGGGGCCGGACTCAAGGCCTAGGCGGGACACTCCCGACTAACTTCCCTGCTCCCCCCTCCACGATACGGAGTGGCCACTTACCGCCAGCTCCTCGGGCGCCGCTCCCTTCAGGCCCCGCACGGTTCCGCCCTCCCAGGCCCGCTTCCCCAGCGGGACAGACGGCTCTCCCGGGACTCCCTGCCGTCCGGCGGAGCTTTCGTCAAACAGAAGCCTCAGCCGCTTCCCTACTGGAGATACCGGGGCCGCCATCGTCCAGGGCCGCGTTTCACACGGTGCACCGAGCAATTACCGGACGTGAAAGGAGCCAGGCCTCTCTGCAGCAACCCGCGGAGACAGCGCGTTACACAACAACGCCGCCCTGCGGCTAAGAGCGCGGTGTCAGGCGTCGACAGCGCCCCGTGTGGCGAGGAGGGGAAGCGCGGCGAGAACAATACACCAAACACCCCTTCGTTGTGTTCACTTCAGATGCCGTGTACTGGTTACGTGCGCCCCCTACTGTAAGGGATCCCAAAAATTATAGCGCGTGCAAATGCTGTGCAAGTCAACCGTGTGTTACAAACCACAGTGCCCCCAGTGGTTTGGAGTGTTCACTGCAGGTCAGCCCACCCATAGACACGATACCATTGGTTGACGTCAGCTTAGAGAAGCCATGTTTAGACAGAACCAGAGGTTGTTATTGGTTGAGAGATGACGGCAGGATGAAGTCACAATTTAGATCCACTTGATTCCTTTAAATCATATATTTGGCCACAATTGCCCAAAGTAGTAATAGCTCAATAACATATTTGAAGGTAGCCTAAAAAAAAGGTATGTGATACTATGATCAATCAAAGGAGGGCATCTGGGGAGATAGTTGGCTTTGTAGAATGGTAGGGAAGGTATGGAATTCTGAAAATGATGGGTCTGATAGAGATAAGGAAGTAGAATGTGACCCAACTAGAAGAATTTAGAGGAGCCATACACCCTCTATGGGTTGTGATTGAAATCTTCCAATGAATCTAGGACTCTTCAAAGTCATCAATGGGCCCCTGTACAGGTTAGATGGGCCCTCACACACTGTAGGAAGCAAATGCTGAGAATCTAGCTCATCTTAGCCCAAAGTTTTAGTAGACCTAGTCAAGATCAAACAAATTTCACCCAAGCTCGGAAGGAGGAGACCACATTACCAAAACGTTTTGGGTGTAAAACTACCTTCATAACCAATAAAGACTAGAGAACAAACCACAAAGTTATACGACTACTATGCTGAATCCTACAACCATAAATTGTTACATTGGTGGTCAAGGTGATCAAGTGGGCGAAGATTCCCTTCTTAAAATGATTGTAAAGGTAGAAGGTTCTTTACCCTGATGAATTCACTGCATTAAAGCAGAGCTCCACCCAAAAGGGGAAGTTCCGCGTTAAGGCTTCGTCCCCCACTCCACGTTAAGGATTGGCACTTTGGGGGAGAGGGTACCCGATTTTGACAGATGCTCGTTCTCACTTTTGCTGCAATTGCTCAGGGCCCTAGGCGATCAGAAGCAGAAGTTGTCCTCTTCCCTACCTGTAGTCTAGTGGGACAACTTCTGCTTCCAATCTCCTAGGCAATTGCAGCAAAAGGGAGAACGGGCATCTGTCAAAATCAGGTATCCGACTACGGGACCATTCAGAAAGAGCAGCACTACTTGTGCAGTGGGCACCCGGCTGTGAAGCAAGCTGTCACAACCAGATGTCCACACTGAAGATGCCAAGGATAGAGGATAGCTGGTGAACCCAGCTGCGGAGAGGACACCGTAGCATCGAGGGAAAGGTGGCTTTTTTTTTAGTTTTCGTAGCTGCTGACGTTTATCTTTTTATGTTGTAACTGGAGCTCTGCTTTAAGATTAAAAAAAAAAAACTGTCTACCTCCCTGCCTTACCTGAACCTGATCTCAATCCAGCACTGTGCCCAAGAGCAGTGGCTCTCTATGTTCTCTCTCTCCTCCCTGGTCATGGAGGCAGCAGCTGTCAATCGCAGCCTGTGAGGGGGAACAAGCTGTGCTTTATGTATCTATGGACACACAGAGCTCTCTCACTTGGCAGGGGTGAGGGTGCCAGGAGCACAGAGCAAGTAGGTATGTTTGTTATTTTTAAAAACTTACCTCTACAATCACATTAAAGTGATATTAAATATACAATGTTTAATTGTCATTATCCCTTCTATTTATGTATAAAAGATCATGTAGACTCCACCTCCACAACATCTCCAAGATATGACTGTTCCTAACCCCGGAAACTACTAAGCAACTCATTCACTCCATTATCATATCACGACTTGACTACTGCAACTCCCTCCTCACCGGCCTACCTCACCACAGGCTATCCCTGCTTCAGTCTATCCTGAATACTGCAGCCAGACTCATCCACCTTACTAACCGCTCCGTATCCGCCACCCCTCCCTGCCAATCCCTCCACTGGCTTCCGATTGCCCAACGGATGAATTTCAAAATGCTAACACTGACATACAAAGCTATCCATAATACTGCCCCAAACTACATCACCGATCTGGTATCCAAATACCACCCAAAACGTACTCTCTGCTCCTCACAAGACCTCTTACTCTTTAGTTCCCTGGTCTCCTCCTCCCATGCTCATCTCCAGGACTTCTCCAGAGCTTCCCCCATCCTCTGGAACTCACTACCCCAATCCATCAGACTATCACCTACTCTCCACTCCTATAGGCGCACCCTGAAAACCCACCTCTTCAGGGAAGCCTACCCCGCCCTCAGCTAATTGCCGATCTCCTCCACTCTTCCTACCACTCCATCCCCCACAGCTATTACTCCTGTACCACTATCCCCTCCCTCCTAGATTGTAAGCTGCAAGGAGCAGGGCCCTCGAACCCCTCGTGTATCACATTGTATTGTTACTGTACTGTCTCATGTATTGTCTCCCATTGTAATGTACAGCGCTGAGCAAACTGTTGGCGCTATATAAATACTGTATAATAATAATGCCACCAAAACTGTTCAGCGGTCACATATTTCCCAGGTCTTTCCCATCCTCAGAGAAAGATCTGAGGAAGGGGTTTCTAGTACTCCGCTGATGTATGCCCTACAGCAGCAGAAGACATCTGGGCACTAATCAGTGCTGTTCCAGTCACAGGACAGAGGGTAGCGTTCAGGAGTACGTGGCGTACAGAGGGCAGAGTTAAAGCCAAGTTTCAGTCAGTTTTGCGATTATTAAAAGTCAGCAGCTACAAAAACTGTAGCTACTGACTTTTAATAAGCACACACTCACCTGTTCCAGGGTCCAGCAAAGTGCTCACCCGTGCCGTCCCTTTCTGCCTCTTCTCTACTCGGTGCCAGCATCACAACTGTGGGCACCAGGCTGTGACAGCTTGCGGCTTCACAGCAGGGTGCCCACTGCGCATGCGCAAGTCACGCTGCGCATTCTGATAGGTTCAGCAGTCTTCTGGGACCTGTGAAGGACTGTGGGAGGAAGGAGGGGGCCAAACTTCTGGCTCGCTTTGCCACAGCAAAGCAAAAGATGCCAAATATGGCAGTGGAGGGAGGAGGCAAACAAGCGGAACTTCCACTTTTGAGTGTAACTCCGCTTTAAGGAGTATGCATCTCACATGCTACTTTATAAGCAAAAATTACTCTCCCCCTCCCCACCTCAGAAGTACAGAGCTCTGTTTCCACCCACAGAGAGGCGCAGCTACAACTTACATTGTGGAAAGAATAGAGAGTGCAGGCTACTGCCGCATGACTAGAGCATCTAAGCACATCCCTCGCCTCTCTCTCCTCTGCTCCCATAGAGATGTACAGTGTAGGGCAGGTTCTGTGCAAGTCACTGGAGCACAGGGCCAGCCAGAGGTGGCTCATTGCAGGTCACAGCAATGGAACCAGCAATGGCAAAAGGGATTTAGCAGCAGTGGATGCAGCACTGCTGCCAAAATAGTACATATTACTACATGTGAGATGTGTATGACAGAGCAAAGTGGGGGCCCACACACACTTCCTGAGGAAGTCACGTGAACGTGACACAGAGCGTAGATGCGACGTGGTGCCGCACTTCCGGCGGAGTGTCATCTTGGTACACCAGGTTGTACAGAGTACACCCATACTTAGTGGTGTGACAGCCTGCTTTGATCTACCTAAATGTGAGTGCATAACTTGGCGTTTTTATATGTTTTTTGTCCTTTCATGGCCTTAATGTGGTACTCATTTATTGGCCTGCACTGCATTTATCCATGTATGGAAGAGTGGTATGTCACGGAAGCAAGTTACCAGTGAGGGTCTGTGGAACCAGAGGAGCCTGTGTGGCCTGGAGAGTTGTTTCCTGTGTAGGATCCAGGGTGTTCCAAAAGGCGTGTTGACCCGTTTGGGTCGCATTCAGGAGGTAAGGGGGCATGCCTGCTTTTTAAGGATATCTAATCACCATCTGCACTAGCACTGAAGCACTTTTCTGAAGATAAAAGCACCTCTTTGCATTTATTGCAATGTTTGCAATCTTCTGCATCCTTTTTGGACTCTTATGTATTTGTTTTATGTGTATTTATGATTATTCATGATAGTGTATTTTGTTTGGGCATTTAGCACCAGTCACTTTATTTGTTATATATCCCGCATTTGGGATTGGTCGTTGTCACTTTATGAGGGTCACTGAGTAGGACCAGTTTATTATATGCACTTTGTGTTATCACTGTGAAAGACACTTATCATTAGATCTTGAAGGATCGATCACTCATATATGTTTATCTGATTTATTTATTTTTCATTATTTGTTAATTTGTGTGATTTGTACATTTGTGTGATTTGTACACCATTTTTTTATTAATTACCCACACACACTTGCACCCATTATGATACACCACTGGTGCATGGGGTGATTAAGGTGTGCCTGGGCACACTCGGCACACACCTATGGTGTAGTTGGAGTTTTAAGTTGACTGACAATAGTTTTTTTTTTTTTGCTCACACTGTACAGATATCTGGAGGAGGTTCTGCCAATCGCAGGCCCTTTAGCTTGTGTCTATAGTGTGTATATGCTGGGACTAACGAGGAGGTGAAGCCTTCATAAATCACCGTCTTATATCCTGCCCCATAGTGTTTAGGAATATGAGAAGAGAGGGGGCTGTCATTTTTAACACCATGTATACGCCCACATGTGTGACTCTATAGTAATGTGGGCTGCACAGATAAGGAAAAAAAAGGGGGACATGAACAGTTTAGAAGGGAACTGAAAATGGAGCATGCTCAGTATATGTGGCAACAGCTGGTCTACATA